TTGATGTTTCTGTTTGCCATATGAAATTTTTATTTGCCTGGCTCTAGAGCCCAACAATGATCATAGACTAAGCTGAACTAGGTGACTGATATCCATGGGATAAGTGTCCGATGGGTCTTGAGATCTGTATGCTCTTCCTGCACTGGCTATATTGGCGGCCTCAGTCGGATGGAATGAGTCCCATAATGCATAGTCACTTCTATTCTGGCATACAGGTTGGAAAGGATTGCATAGCCCAAGTTCATTTACTGCACAGCAGCTAATGTTCGGAACCTTGAAATCTGAAATCAACAAAACAAATTTATGTCACTTTTAGTACTCTTTCAGAAAATACAGCTAGGAATTTTAGTTTGTGCGACCCCATCATATATCTCTCTCCTCATCTAACAGTGGATCTCACGTACATATTTACGAGAGAAATGTCGCATATGACAGGATCACAGCAGAAAAGAGAGGCACAAAAGTGTAACCAAGTACCAGCAGGACGTGACACTGAAGAAGCGTTAACATAGATGAATTGTGCATCTTGCAGATCGGCGTTGAGCTTGTCCACCAGAGCTCTAAGCTTTTCATTAAAAGGTTCTGTTGCATTGCCTATTGGTGCCACTCCAACCAAGGCCACCTTCCTTGCTCCATACCTATACAAAGTCTTCAATCAAAACCAACATCAAACAAATAAGTCCTTTTCGAGTAGGTCTCAAAGTCGACGATAAAGATTAGTAAACTAAACAAGTGCTTGGTGTTAATTAAATAATTAATAACTAATAATTACCATAATTTGTTGAGAATATTGCTCAATAAGAACTGAAGCATATTGCTCAAGTGTATATATTCGACTGGTGTTAAAATACTGAGTCTGGAAGTAATTGTTAATGTAATCGTTGTTGCCGATTCCCATAAAATAAAAGCACTTGTTTAAATACTTGAGAGCTAATGCTTTATGTCGCAGAATGGAAGCAATGCGCAAGACTGTAACATGGTGATTTCGTAACTGCTGATCTAAGTTGACATTAACACCCTGCATATATATAGAGGACAGAAATTAAGATTTCATATCAATTGTTTAATTAATTAATACTAATATTAACTTTGCAGATATATATATATATATATATATATATATATGTCATGTTAATTTGGTGTGATTAGTTACCATCTCAGTGCCAGATTCAGCTCGAATTCCTGCAGCGCCAGATGCGTAATTCAGACCTCTAAGTATGACCAGGCCCCAAGTAGTTGCAAATGGTGGGATGGGTTTCTTAAAACCCAGAAGTTCAGCTGTAATGTGTAAAGTAACAAAAAAAAAAAATTGTCCTAATTAATTATAGCCTCCATGTGTTGTGTGCATATCTTACCAACATACTTAATTATAACAAAATTAAGGGGAATATTTTCTTGCTAGATGTTTTGGAACATTGATCATATGTGGCCTAAATTTATAATATGACAACATAACTCTGAACTTTCGTGCCGTCTAGCCACCTTGTGAATTTGGACCCTGAATCGAAGTTTAAAGCATACGTCATCCTCAACTTAATCGTATCAATAGTAAATATTAGATCAACAAACTACAAATTCCTCTTTGTGACATGTATAGTTCCTAAGCTATAGAGAGATATGAACAATTACTTAAAAGAAATTCAGAGAGAGAGAGAGAGAGAGAGAGAGAGAGAGAGAAGCAAGACCAAGTATATCAACTGAGGTTCTGCCATTGCAAAATCTTCCTGTTGCTCCAATGGGAAAATCAACCCCATAGGGAAGGTAATTCACTTTAGCCAAGGTCGGGAGGTAGTTATTATTGCCACTGTCGACCAACGAATCACCAAAAATGAAGAAACATGGTACTTGCGGCGCTTCTCCATAAACACAAGAATATTGTGATAATAATATTGAAACCACCAAAACACCAAGTATCATCTTGAACCATCTAACACCCATCTCATAATTTGTTGCCATTGGTTATCAAAGAATATATATAGCCCTAGCTACTAACACTGAAAAGAAAAGTGAACAAAGAAAGAGACGTATTGATTATGAAAACAAAGATGTGGAAGGCCAGAACGGAGCGCATGCAGAGGGAATGTCTATATAGTGAGAGGATTGAATTAATGGGTCTTGTTTTTGTTTTATTTTTATTTAATACTGTGAAGATTGAGTTTGGTCGAATGAATATGTGTCGTGGGGGCCAAGCAGTTTGGTTCACACAAATACAATGAAGCCCTCATCTGCCATAGAATGCTCACGATGAGAAACTGATTAACAGACTTGGCGGATTACAATCCCAGTGGGATCTAATGCTAACTAATTAATGACACCAAAAGTATTCCAAATTTGTATTCATCAAATGATGAGCATATGATAGTATCTAATTATTTGTTAAAAATACAAGATTCAGATTTTTCTAGAATTACTGTATTATACACGATCATTGATCTTGCAACTAAAGGTTCGTAGTACTTCTCTTTCCAATATTTGGAAGAGATCCCAAATTCGACTCCCTTCCGCATTGATAAAAAAAGAAAGTAAAAACAGAAATGAATGGCCGTAAATAAGGTGGCATGGGCAAAGGCATGGCACGAGAGAGGGTACTCTTCTTAGACTTTGCTCATCATTTATAAAATTATGCTCTGTTATCCACATTATATATATTTTTCACAACAAGTGTTTGAAAAGTTCGTTTGTGTATCAAATTTTTCAATGTTAACCAACTTAAGCAGTTCATAGTCTGATATGTTTCTAAGATTGGGGACTAAGAGATGTGTGCTTTCTAAAATTACTCTGTTATCTCACAGATGAATTTTCTTGGGAACCAAATTAAGCAAATGAATGGTGTGCTTGGTTGGGGACTAACAGATGGCATGGGCAAAGGCAAAGGCCTAAGGCATGGGAGTATAAGGGGTACTCTTCTTAGACTTTGCTCATTCCTGAAATTACTTGAAATCTTACACACATTATATCGATTTTTCACAACATATATTTGATCGATCAAATTCTCAAAATGTTTTACCTTGTTAGAAATATTTTACGTGTTTAGCATCAATTGTAGTCTTTATGAACTGAGTCCTCGTGGGAATTTAATTTGCTTCAAAATCTCATGAGTTAAGTTCTCATAAATTTTGCTCTTGCTTTTTACGGCACTTTGATGTCATCGATTCTCTGTAGCTTGGATATTTCTCTTCTAGGCAAGAGTTAAGGCAGTCCTGCTTGATGACTTTGTACATGTACAAAGAGCTTCACCGGCTAATGTTTTTAAATTGTTTTTCAAATTCATCAAGTATCCGCCTCGATTGTTTTTAAATTATTTCAATGAATCAATTGTTTTCATTCCACCATGGTTCATATTCAACAGAAATTCTTCAAATTTTGTGATATTATTAAAACAAAAGTATTTTAATAACAAAAAATGGGAGCTCAGTTAGATAAACACAATTAAGCAAAACATCAATTTCGTATAGAACATCAAAACGATACATCATACAAGTATTAGGAAGAAATACAAATACACCCAAGTACAAAAGGGTACTTTAACAAAACCAATATCTAATTAGGACTCCGTCCACTGATATGAACACAATTGATTTAGGAAAATGATTTTTCCACTCCTTTTTTCTCCACTTACACTCCCTTTTGCTTTTTAATACTTTTTAATTAATTTTGTTCTTTTGTGTTCTTTATATTTCATATTCTACCCTCACCCTACATTAATATTTTGATATGGGTACTCAATCAATAAGAGTGAACAAAATCCAGGCTTTTGGATTCCCCTATAGACTTAAAATGCCGAAATATTTATATGAGAAGAATTCTTTTACTTTCTTTTTATTTTTTTCTTTCTTTTCAATCCCTGATTGACCCAAAATAAATGAAGATATGAAATAATCTTATATGAAACAAAGAGAACTCCCTTAATGTGAATTTGAAACTCATAGTCTCAAACTCAATTTCATTTTCCTATTCATGTCCACAAGTTCATAAATAAAAAATTGCATTCAATATCTGTTTTCCGAATGGTTATGAAGGCGAAGAGAGGGAGAAGAGGGAGAGGAACATGAAAAAATAAAATGTAAAAATGTGTAGTTAGATGCATTTCTGTTTCTTTGTGGCCACCTAAAATTTGTTTCCTTCAAAAAAACAAAAAAACTATGGCAAGGTTTATTCGTGGGGCATGAGTGTTTGTAGGTGGACCATGTAATTTTGTCTAGAGAAATATATAGTGTTAATTATTTCTTACTTGATTAAAGGAAAAAAAAAACTGAAAATAGAGGGAAAGCTGGAAAATTAAATATAAAGAAAAATAAATAATATAAAAATAAAGTAAAAATAAATTAATATAGGATAAGGGTAGAAAAGGAAAGAGAAAGAGAAAGAACAAAAAAGAACAAAATTTATGGGTCTTTAAAATAATAATTTATTCATCCTAAAGGAAAAAAAAAAAAAAACATTCGTGCCCTATTACTTTCCATCTGAAATTTATGTGCTTGGCTACTAGAACTCCATGGTTATAGCCTAAGTTTAGCTAGGTGACCAATATTCATTGGGTAAGTGTCAGACGGGTTAGAAGAATTGTATGCTCGTCTTGCAGTGACTAAATTGGCCATCTCAGTAGGATGGAATAAGTCCCAGAACATATGCTCGCTCCTATTCTTGCATGGAGCTGCGGAAGGAACACATTGACCTATTTCATTTACTGGACAACAATTAACGTCCGAAACCTTCAATCCTGAAATCAAACAAAACAAATTAATTAATGTCACTTTTATTCTTTCTGAAACCATCATATAGCTAGGAAATTAATTTGTATATACGAGCTGAGCTGGTCATATATGACCTATTTTTCACATCATATATATAGATATTATGTGAAAACGTCACACATGACCTGACCGGCTCATGGCACTCGAAAATATTGAAATTAAAAGAAATCATATAGCACAAAGAGAGTCCACAAACCAGTTGTTGTCCGATCCGCTGAACTTCCGGACATTCCGTAAGTGTTAACATAGATGAATTTTGCATCTGTGAGATTGGTGTTGAGCTGATCGACGAGAGACTTAAGCTTTTCGTTGAAAAATTGAACTGCATCGTTCATTTTATCCACGCACGCAGACCCATTTGTTCCAGTCGAAATTGAATATGGGGCGCAGCCTACTTGTCCCAATCCAACCAAGGCCACCTTCCTTGCTCCATACATGTACAAAGTCTTTATAACAAATAAGTCTTGTGTTTAAAATAAATTTAGTATAGATATAGTTGCTTTCAAAGTCTCAAAGACTAATTAAACAAGTGCATGGTGTTAATTAATTGCTAACCTTTATTTGGCGAGAATATTGTTTGATGAGAAGTGTAGCATATTGTTCAGGGGTATATTTGGTACTGGTGGGGTAAAACTTGGGCTGGAAGTAATTGTTCATGTAGTCATTGCTACCCATTCCAACTGAATATAAGCACTTGTTTAAATAGTGCTTATTAGATGATTGTTTATGCCCCATCACAGAAGCAATGTGCTTGACTGTAGCTTTGTGATTCAGCAGCTGCTTATTCAAGTTGACATTAGCCCCCTGCAAAAGGAGAAAATTATATATACAGATCAATTTGCTTAATTATATAATTAAGTTGTGTAAATTATTTAACTCTTGATTAATTACCATATGGGTGCCAGTTTCATCTCGCAGTCCTGCTGAGCCAGATGCATAATTCAGACCTCTAACCATGTCCTTGGGCCGCCTGGTAGTTGCAAAGCATGGGATGGGGTTCTCAAAACCCAAAAGTTCAGCTGTGATGTAAAGATCCATGTTCTAATTTTAGCCTCATTTTGTGAATGCCTTGCAAACGTATATATTTATTATTAATTAATATGTATAGATATCTATACTACTCACATAAAAGAATAAAATACAATATGCATAGCCCCCCGGCCTCAAATTTATACGTAAAATCATCTATAAACCACGCATATAAGGTAAATTTACATATATCAAGGTTCTAGTTAAAGTTAGTCGTGAGTTTACAGCTCACTAGTTCCAATCTGGGGATCATTAAAGCCAAATGTAATGCACCATACCAATACATGATAACATAAAACATGTACAATTCTCATAGTATGCAGTGCAGAGAAAGAAAAGACCTATTATATCAACGAAGGTTCGACCGTTGGTAAATCTTCCCGTTGGTCCCTTTGGAAAATCAATTCCATAAGGCAGGTAATTGGCTTTAGCCGGGGTCTTGAGGTGGTTGTTGTTGCCATTATCCGCCAATGAATCACCAAAAATGAAAAAACAAGGCACTTGCGATTCTCCATGAACACAAGATTGTGATATGAAAACCACCAAAACAACAATCATCAACGTCCATATTACTGTGTCATTCGTCGCCATTATCAAAGAATTGTAAGCTGCTAATTATAAGGATTAGAAAGAAAGGGATTGTAAACTGTGGGTTTTTTTTAGTGTTTTTCTTTTTCTATTAAATACTTGGGATGTTCGTGAGGCCGAACATGTTGTGCTCTTGACCACACAAATACAATGAGAAACTTACTAATTAGAGACACAAAGACTTGTTTGAGTCAATTTCGTTACAAAAAAAATTAACCCTAAGTAAAACTCGCCATAATAACAGAATGGAGGTTATAGTTCTTTTCCTCTGTTTTTTCAGAAATCAAAGAAAATAGATAATGGTCGTTATTGACTAATTAGGGCTATCATGGTAAATGGGTTTTAATTACAATAGTGATGAATAGTAAAAAGTTGAAACTGGTAACATAATTACAAATTCATTATTATTTCAAATAAAATTTTGACCATCTACTTGTTTGGCACATGATCTGTTGAAACTAATCTATACATATCATTTTATAATTGGACAAAATTGTTGATATTTCATGAACTTAAGGTATGAATATAACACTGCAAAATTTCTCAAAAAAAGTGTTGCAGATTCGGTTGATCTAACTTTTTATTTAAAATTAAAACAAATTAGGGCTATTAACAAGCATGAAGTGAGAGCATAGCTAGGAGGGGCACGAGTCATTCTATAGTGAGGGCCTTATATATGGCCTTTAGGTGAGGTCTTATCTCTTAACTATTGAATCAAGCTAACTAATTTAATCCAGTGACTAAGAAATAAGGCTTCATCTAAGGTGACAGGACCCGCCCCGGAATTTCCCCCGAAACCGGGGCGGACCCCGTATTGTTGCCGACATCATACTGATGCCGGGCCCACTTACTAAAACCCAAGACATTCTATCAAAATTTTGGCAGAGTCTCCCCTGTAAAATGCTCAAACCAACAATAAACAACCTGCAATAATTTACATCAATATACAACCCAACTGCCAGCATGCTTTTACAAACTACAATCCAACACAAAATGGCCTCCGGCCTCAAGTAGTAGCCTAACATGGGCAATAACAGAGCGTCTACAGAATTTGTTTACAACAAACAGGGGAGTAGAAAGAATTTATACAGACCCTATTAACAGACGACAAGTTCGGAGCTCGTGACTTGCTCGAATGCCTTCAGGAGCAACTACTGTCTGGGGGGCGCAAAACAGAAAGATGTGAGTGGACAGAAATAAAGTTTCACTTTAAAACAACATAGTAACCCCACCATGTAAAAATAATGCTCTAGCATGCAGTTTCACAATTCAGAAACCAAAACTCAATCACAAAAATCCCAAAGTCCAAAACATCTCCACATCTCAAGCTCATAACTCATTTCCCAAAATATATGCAACTCTCAACACCCGTA